TTTTCCAAGAGCCCAGTCTAGTGGGGGAGACATGGAAATAAACAGTCACAATTAAATATAAGAAATAATGCGATAAGGTGATGGGCAAAGTGCTGCAGAAGCACACAGGAGGAATAACTGTGTGTGTGTGTGTGCACGTGCATACTTTTTAAAAAATTTTAATTATTTTCTTTTTTTATAAATACATTTCCCCCCCAATTCTCAGCATCTACATATGCACACTTGTGTGCACACTCTTGGGGAGGCTGGGAAGTAAATGCAAGGATGCTGCCCAGAGGAGATGCTCTTTGGGTTGTTCCAAGGATGATTAGGAAATTGACAGGTGGGCCAACTGAGGAAGGGCTTTCCAAGAAAATACATGGCATAGGCAGAGGCTTGGAGGCATCAAAGAACATGGCATGTGCATCAGTACAGATGGTGTGCCTAGGAAGCTATGCCACGCTAGGTAGCCTTCTCCTGAAAGTTCAGGGGGTTCACTAAGTATTTGCATCTTGGGAGTGGACACGCTCAGGTTTCAATTTTAGGAAGATCACCCTGGTGGCAGAGCTGAGAAAGAGTTAGAGCTGGGGACAAGGGTAGAGGTGGGAGGAGTCTGGATGTGCTTGCAGAAGTCCAGATGTCTTTGCAGTAGTCCAGGAGCAAGAAGATTCAGACAGACTCTGAGCTGGTGTGGACGGAGCTGGAACGTATTTAGGAGGTGGACACAACAGGCGTACTGACCAGACGTCTGGAGGGCAGTGAGGGGGAGCAGGAGGCTAGGGGGACAGCGGAGTTTCTGGCTTGGGTCACTGGGTGGATGGTGGTGTTATTTGTGGAAAATGGGAAGCCAAAAGGAGGTAGCAGATCTGAAGAAGGTTCCTTTTAAGCTTATTTTATTTATTTTTTTGAGACAGAGTCTTGCTTTGTTGCCCTGGCTAGAGTGAGTGCCATGGCGTCAGCCTAGCTCACAGCAACCTCAAACTCCTGGGTTCAAGCGATCCTACTGCCTCAGCCTCTCGAGTAGCTGGGACTACAGCATGCGCCACCATACCCAGCTAATTTTTTCTATATATGTTAGTTGGCCTATTCATTTCTTTTCTATTTATAGTAGAGACGGGGTCTCACTCTTGCTCAGGCTGGTTTCGAACTCCTGACCTCAAGCAATCCGCCCGCCTCGGCCTCCCAGAGTGCTAGGATTACAGGCGCGAGCGCTGCCCGGCCAAACTTATTTTAAATCCAGGCCAGGGGGCATTTGAAGATACAAAGAAAAGATTCCAGAATCACAGAGGCAGAGAAGGTGGGCTCCTGGGCACATGGGGAGGCTGAGAAATGGGTGTGGGATGGGGAGAGGACAGGCTGAGAGACTGAAGCTGGTCTGAGTAGGAATGGAATGTTAGGGCTCTCAGGAGTTGTTGATGATTGGAATTTCTGGAAGAGGCTTAACATTGTGACCACTTGTGTTTAAGTCATGCCTCTTTCCCTTATTAATTGTGTGAATTTGGGCATATTTCCCTGAGCCTCGATTTTCACCTCTGTAAAGTGGAGTCAGATTGTTACGACTTCGTGGGATTGTTGTGTGAATTAAATGGGATAATATACAGAGAGGGCCTGACCCACTGTATGCTCCGTGATGTTAGTCCTCACCCCTCCAGCACAGGGAATGCACAAACCCACTGCGAATGGCGAATCCATAGTGATCTGAACCCACTGTGATGACGCTCGTTCTCTCGTGCTGATCCTGCTATCAGGGCATAGTTATAGGCCTGAGCAATCAAACGGGAAATAAATTATTTAATGCAATTTGGTAAGAAATATTGTTTCAAAGCTTATTTTAGGGGGCAGGGGCATAACCAGGGGAAACGGTCTCCTGAGAAAGTTGAAGCCCAGGGTTGTGGCCCCACTTGCCGAGGTCACATGGTGAGTTAGAGGCAATGCCAGGACCTGAACCCTGGGCCCCACAGTGAGGCCATTTCTCTCTCCACTGAATAGCTGCAGTGGAAGGGGTGGAGGGCAGGGGTGAGGGGAGGCCGAACTGGCAGTGCCAACCCCTCTGTCACCCAGTTCCCTCCTGCTCCTGTCCCTTGCCTTTTAAAACAGCTCCCAGGCATCTGGCTTCCATCTCGGAGGTCCACCTGGGCTTCTCAGCAGGGACTGTCCAGGAAACCCCTTCTGTGTGAGGCAGGTGTGGGCGTGGAAAGGCTCGTTGGAGTTGAGTCAGCATTGCCTCCTCCCGGGTGAGTCAGGAGCAGGGCCGGGAGGGCTGGCGGACTGGAGGGAGGCCACCGCGGGTGTAGGGTGGGGTAGGAGAGAGCGGAGACCAGCCCTGCTGCAATGACGCATCTCAACCACCAGGGGGCAGGAGCCAGACGGCAAAACCCAGCAAGCTGCTGGTGGAAAACTTAGGGCACCTGGCGACGGAATGAGAGGACCCAGGTTCCTCAGGGTGGGCACGGGTACAGCCACTGCCCTGGATGTCCTACTGCCTGCTTGTGTCCCGACTCCCCTGCCTCTGTAGAGAACCGGAGACGGTCAGAGTGGGATCGGAATCCAGGGGTTGTCCCATCCAACTTTCCTGAGCTGCCCCAGGCAGGGTGTTGCCCAAGGTCACATGGCAAGTTGGTGGCAAATCAATATTGATTATCACTGGTCTCAGGAATATGGCCATTTGATGGGCACAGTCCTGGCCTCAGTTCCTGGCTACGGACAGCCCTCCACGTGCTGCCCCTGGAAATCCTGTCTCCCTACCCCCTCTCTCGCCTGTTCCTTCCCCCTCACAGTCCCTCTGTTCCTTCCATGGGTCCTTGCCTTCTCTGTCCTCTCTGACTTTTCCACCTGGCAGCCTCTGTCCCTCCTGTCTGCCTCCTGCCTCCACCCTGCCCACTGGGGAGCTTTCTCAGCTCCCTCACCGGGCCGGAGCAGGATGCTTCGTGCAGGCGCTCCTGGGGATTTGCAGCTCTCTGAAGACTGTTTTCCAAACCGGCGTCTCAGTTCCACTCCTGGGATCTGGGGAGACGTCACTATTTGGTAGCACAATCAGTGGTGCGATTTCCGGTGGAGAGAGGGACCCCCTGGCCCGAGCATGCTGCCCCGTGGTCCCCGCTGCCATTCCGCAGCCATGGACACCAGCTGGCACCTGGTGTGGGCAGACCCTCAGCTCACGCAGAAGGGAGTAAGACCCGGGGCCTGCCCCGTGAGCTCACCCCGTGGGGTCGAGGGCGAGAGACAGCAGGTACACAAGTTGTTTAGTCAAAACCGGAGTGCTCTAAGTACTGGAGAGGACAAAAGCAGCTCTGTACAGCACAGATGGAGACCGAATGTGGCTGGGTCTTGGAAGGTGCCATGAGGTACGCAGGTGGCATCTGACTGGCCTTTGAAGGACAGGTGGGATTTCACCAGAAGGAGCTGTGTGGGTGTGCGGGCACATTCTGAGCAGAGGGACCAGCGTAAGCGAAGGTCTCGGGCACACCAGTGTGTGTGCCGGCGTGTTGAAGGCCATCGGGGCATACGCAGGGTGACTGGAAAGCAGGGGTGACCCAGCCTGGAGCACCTCACTGCCCGGCTCTGTGGAAGCGCCTGGGGACGCACTGCCGTTTCTGAGCAGGGAGGTGAGTGGCTCCTGCTGCTGAGGCCCTGGGCTAAAATGCCAGACCTGCAGCAAAAAGCGACGCACCGTACCCCATCGGCCCTCACGCCCCGTGTGAAGGGTTTTTATTCTGGGTTCCGCTCAAAGTAGGTTTTGATGACAAGTGGCGTGAGGGGTTCAGGTGCCTAGGGGAGTAGGGGACACGGGGTGGCTATGCCAAGGTGTAGAAGAAGAACTGGGCTCCATGACTTGACTTCATCTACGCTGCTTAGGCTGGCCCCAGAGTCCCATGGTGACCCAGGAAGAGACCAGTCTGTTGTCAGGGTCTGCCCCTGTCAGTTCTCAGTCTGATTATCCTGGGGGTCATAATCAGAATGTCCCCCTGGTAGGCCCAGGGAAGGGTCTCCAAGCCCATGCCCTCCCCTCTAGGCTGGTCGGGGTTTCCGCCTGCTGCTCTGCGACTGCTGCTGCCCTGGCCCCGAGGGAGGAGGGTGGTGCCGCTGAGTCACTGCCTGGGCATCTGGGCCAGGAGCCACGGGTGAGTCACCTAGGACTGGCGGAGGGGGCTTGGTGGGGGGAAAGAAGCTGCCTGACATCTGGAGGGTGGGGCAGCCGGGCCCACAGGAAGGGTGGTGCCCAGACTGGGGTTGGGATCCACAAAGGGCCAAGAGAAGGGGGCCCTAAGGGGGGTAACCCTCCCCTGGGCTGGGCTGGGCTGTCAATGGCTTCGGTGTTTGCCTTTCCCTGGGCCTGGGGAGGGGCACGTGCCTGGAGGGCAGTGTGGAGGAGGCCTGGCCTCCAGGCTTGGGAAGCTGTCCAGCTCCATGTTTCAGCCCTGAATACCCCTGCCCACTCACCCACCCCTCTCGATGGAGAAGAAGAGGCCAAAGTTTACCTGTTTACCCTTTAACACTTCCCACAGACTCGTGCTCACCCTAACTGTATGCAGAGCAACCCCACGTCTCACCCTGTCCTTCCAGACCCCTTCCCGCACAAAGGGCCTTTCATGGCATGTCTGTGCACATCCACTTACCTCATTACCTCATTAAGAAGTGTTCCCGTGCTGGTCATTAGCAGTAGCTTCACCCCCCCCTTCAGCCCTGCCCTCTTCCTGCTGCCCCCAGCTGCCTTCTCGGGCCCCCAGATTTCTAAGGTGGCCCCAGACTGCTTCCCTCTCTCACACACACACATGCACAAACACACACGCACAAGGACCCACATGCACGGACATACACACGGTCACATGCATATACACCAGCGCAGGGCTGTGAAGTCCCAGCATGTGCCCGAGGCCTCCGACACAGGAGTGGGCTATGACTCACGGGCGGATCATGAGAGCGAGGCCTGGCATGAGTCTCTAGGCCCCAGAACGGGGGCTGTCTGCCCTCACCCCTGGCCTAGGCTGCCCTGTCCCCATGACACTTCCCACTTCCCCGCTGTGGCCTGGGTGGGCTCCAGGGCTGCCCTTGGCAGGGCCGGAGCTGTCCTCCAGCTGGCGGTGGAGCTGGCGGTCTCTGGGAGAGAGGGCGCTGGGCGGAAGTGGCTGGGGGTGGCAGGAGGCCAGGTTTTGGCGGGATCAGGTTAAGGCAGGTTTGGTTTCTGAAAATGCCAAGTTGAGGGCCAGTGGGGCTGGTGTATAAATCCCCACCCTGGGTGCCTGGCCACTTTGTTCTCCTTCCTGGGTCTCTCTCTGCCACGGGTCGGTGAGTACCTCTGTCCTGCTGAGGTGGCGGGGAGGGGCTCCGCCTTCGACCCTGCCTTGGTCTTTATCTCCCCAGGTTTCTCATTCTGGCTTTCTTGGGCCGATCAGCCTGGGCTTCTCTGGGTCCTTCCCGTCTGGGGGATCCTCTGTGAAGTGTCAGGTTTTTGAGGTTCCTCAGTGAGCTCTCAGCTCAGGGGTCACTCTGAGGCCCTCTGTTGGGTCTCTGAGTCTGGGGGTGGTCTTTCTTTGGGGGTCTAGGCCTAGGAGGTGTATGTGTAGGTGGTGCTATTAACAAAAGTCCTGAGTTTTTGTTTTTTGCAATGTCTTGGATTCTAGCAGGACTAAGGAGCAAGAGGGAGGGGTCCCACGTGCAGGCCAGCCTGGGCTGTGGCCCCGAGTAGCAGCAGAGCTCTGCCTCGGGGAAGGCGGGGTGGCAGAATGGGCCCAGGGCTTCCCCTGCCTCCGGCGTCAGTTCCTCTGGCCTCACCCTGAGACCCGCCTAGGCTTTCCGGGCTGGTCTGAGCATCCTCAGAGGCAAGGCCTTGGAGAAGATGACCTCTGAGGTCTGTCCCACCTTGGTCCCAAGGCACTGGACAGTTAATTTCTTTAATTCTAATCGCAACAGGAGCCTTCCTGGTGGGCAGGATGTTCAGTCGCCTGCAGCCAGCCCATGCCCTGTGTGCATGGAGAGCACCCGTGACTCAGGGGCCGCCAGTGCCAGGGGAGACACTCCCCGCCCTGAGAGCCCTCTCTGCGGGAGGAAACATCCTTGCCCAGGGGAGCTTGCAGTTAGGCGGCAGAGAGAGAGATAAGAGCCCTGAGTCTGAGGAGGGAAATGAATCTTTTGGGGAGGTGCCACCACTAGTCTGTGGTGGTGGCCATTGCCAGGTGGTGCAGTGGAGCCCCGCTAGCTAGCCCATGTGTGTGCGCATGCCGCCAGTGCTTGGCACAGACAGGTCAAAATGGGACTCTGGTCACCCTGTCATTTCTCTTCCCATAGACACTCAAAGGGGGGAGCCCTACCTTCAGGGGTATGTCTCTTGTGATTGGAAGGGACATGAGGCCCTACGCTTGGTGACTCCAGACACAGGGCAGGGTTTAGCATCTGCCTGCAGTGGGAGGTGGAGGCATGTCCCCTGCCCCGGGGGAGCCACAGTCCAAGGGGGAGCTGCAGCCCTGCCTTTCCATCCAGAGAGGGTCGGCGAGGTAGTCTGGGGCACAGGCAAAAGCGGGTCCTGCAGGCTGGGCTGAGGCCCCAGGAGCCTTGGTGGTATTTCCATTACCTGCCACCTCTGGGCCCCAGATCCAAGATGTCCAGTACCCTGGAGCAGGCGCTGGCTGTGATGGTCACCACCTTCCACAAGTACTCCTGCCAAGAGGGCGACAAGTTCAAGCTGAGCAAGGGGGAGATGAAGGAACTTCTGCACAAGGAGCTGCCCAGCTTCGTGGGGGTGAGTGAGCAGGCCTGGCGGGAGCAGGTCCTGGTGTGAGGGTGGCAGTGCAGGTTACGTCTCTCCCTCCCAGTCCCGGTGCCAGGGTGGGGCAAGCCCTCCCACTCTCCCTCCCCCTCCACTTTTGCTTCACGGCCCGCCGGAGTGGGAGAGGCCAGAGAACTGTGTGCTGTCAGGAACCTCAGAGTCTGTCCGTCTAATCCCCTCACTGGAGAGCTGAGCAGCCCAGAGCCCAGAAAGGGGAAGTGATTGGCCCAGGATCACACAGTGTGCGTGCTCTCTTTCTCTCTGACCTTCCATATTTACACGCCAAACTAAGCAGGTGTGTATGGAGAGGAAAACCCAGCTAAGACACCCACCGTGGGACATTCTGCAGAGAAACGCAGTCAACCCTCAATTTGCCCCTTTGTTTTTGGTTAAACTTTTCTAATCGTTTTGGTTGGTATTAAAAAGTCCTGGCCTCTTCCGAATTCACCCTCTGGTGAAGGGGAGCAGCAAGCTTCAGTTTCCTCATCAGCAAAACGGGATAATGGCACCTACCTCGTGGGGGCTCCTAAGGGATTAGAGCTGACGCATGCTTAGACGAATACCCAGCATCCTCTGCGTGCTCAGCAGGCGGGCTGCAGACTCACCGATGAGTGTCCGTCCCTCCTTACTGGGCCCTCTTAGCAGCTCCCAGAGCTCCCTGCCCACCATGTGCCCAGCTGCTGGTGGGGAGGGAGAGCTGGCACTGGCCTGTGAGTTTGCAGGGGAGTTGGGGCTGGGGGCTGGCTCGGTGTTGACCATATTCCCTCGTGCTTTCAGGAGAAGGTGGATGAGGAGGGCCTGAAGAAGCTGATGGGCAACCTCGATGAGAACAGTGATGAGCAGGTGGACTTCCAGGAGTACGCTGTGTTTCTGGCCCTCATCACTATCATGTGCAACGAATTCTTCCAGGGCTGTCCAGACCGATCCTGAAACAGAGCCCTTGACTCCCTGACATGATGGAGCTCTTGGGCCCGGGACTCTCAATCCCTTTTGGTTTTGTACTCAATAAAATTTTTTGTTTGTTGATACTAGTTTAATTGCTCAGTGATGCCCCATAATCTGGCTGGCTCAGTTGGAGTGCTGGAAACTCAGGGCCTCCTGGATCCCATTCCCTTCTGGGCTCTGACTCACCCGGAAATCTCTCCAAGGCCAGAGCTGTGCCTTAGGTCCCAGCTTTGGGATTTCAAATACCAGTGAAAATTTGGAAATTGAGATAGGTTGCCAACAATTTATTTTGCCAAATAAAGATATTAAAAAAGGCCAATAACAACGACCATCACTACCATTTCATGAAAGGAGAAAATCTGAATTCCAATAATGAAGGAAGGATATAATCTGGGATATAATCTAAGGACTGACCTTAGCATTCATGACTGTGAGCAGCAACTTGTACTAGGATCTACTCAAGGAACATGGATTAGTCACCACCACAAAGCTTCATTTTAAGGACTCCTTGTCAAATTACAGGCCATAGGCAGTGCTATGGTTTGAATGTGTCCACCAAAGTTCATGTGTTGGAAATTTGATTCCCAATGTGACAGTATTAAGAGGTGGGACTTAGAAGAGGTGATTAGGGTATGAGGGCTCTACCCTTATAAAGGAATTAATTACATTATAGTGGGACTGGGTTCCTTATTAAAGGATGAGTTGCCCCCACTCTGTCCCCTTCTCTTTGTCCTTCTGCCATGGATGATGCAGCAAGAGGGGCCTCACCAGATGCAGCCCCTCAGTCTTGGACTTCCCAGCCTCCAGAATCGTGAGCCAATAAAATCGTGTTCATTACACATTACCCGGTCTGTGGTATTCTGTTATATTAATAGCAGTACAAAATGGACTAAGACAAGCAGTATACCTGTTTTTAGAAAAGCTGTATTTCTTTTTACATCTGCTTTCTGATTGGCTGGCTCTAGTTTGAGTTTATTCCTTTTCTGTTGGTCTCTGCTAAAAGCTACTAGGAGCAAGCTCATGTCAAAATTCAGATATTTTCCCCTAAAACTGTAGCCCAGGTTGCCATATATTCTACATCTTAAGGTACACAGGTGACAATCTGACTAGATGACCTACCGTCTCATAACAAAGGTCACCAACTGTCCAGACTGAAAAGGTTAGGTCATCCTATTTTATTCTTTTCTACCTTTATCCACGTCTACATTTTAGATTCTTTTTCTTGATGGATCCCACTTCCAGTTACCAAATTCTCTACCAGTTAGGGTTGTATTACAGAAAACCTGAATAGCAGTGGCTTAAATAAATTGGTGTTCAAATGCCTTACACAACAAGAAGTCTGGGGCAGGCAGTTCAGGTTTGGTTCAGTGACTCAGACTTGCTATATGGTTACCTTTTGCTGCATAAAAAAATCACCCCAACACATGGTGGCTTAAAACAGAAATTTATTCTCTGTCATAGTTCTGCAGGCAGACTAGGCTTAGTTGCTTGTTCTCGCGTGGGGTCCTCTCATGCAGTTGCAGATGGAAGTTGGGACTGGAGTCAGCTGAAAGTTCAAACGAACTCAACATCTAAGGTAGCTCACTCAATATGCCTGGAAACATACTGGTTGTTAGCTGGGAGCTCAGCTGAAACTGTCAGCTGGAGTGCCCACCCACAGCCTCTCTGTGTGGCTAGGGTTTCTCAGAGCATGGCAGCTGGGTTTTGAGAGGACATATTCCAAAGTGAATATCACATAAGGCTTCTTAAGATTTATTTCAGAAATCCTAGGACACCATTTCTGCTGCATTCTATTGATCAAACAAGTCATTAAGGCTGGCCCAGATTCAAGGGGAGGAGAATTAGACATCCCTTAATGTGAGTATGCATAAAATTGATGGTGACCATCTTTGGAGACTATATACCATAGTCTATCTTCTAGCAACTGCAATTCACATCGCTCCCATATGTAAAAATCACTCACCTCCTTCCCAAGACCCACAGAGTCAAGTCAGATCCGGATAGGAATGAGGTTTCTCAGGGGCAGTTCCTCTAGCACAGCTCCACAGCAATGGTTCGTCTTGGCCTAAGGCCTGTGAGGAACCTAAGTGTTGAAAGGTGAGACAAAGATAGATGACTGCAATAAACGCTCCTATTCAAAAGGGGGTGGTGGTGATTGGAGGCACAAAATGGACACTGATTGATAACAATTCTGAAATTGGAATATGTACATGTAATCAGATTCTTGATCAGGGTTCAGTTCTGCTCTCTACACATGCCTCTTCTTGGCTCTTGGCTTCACCCTATAGACTCTTGGCTTTTCTGAGTTAACTCTTTCTTTTCCACAAGAAATGTCTGTGTTTGTAGCTAAGTAGACTTCTCAGGCAGCTTCTTGCCCATAGGAAGTTAAAGACCCAAAATCTTCTTTTTTGTTTTGAGCTCTCTCTGTACCTTTCAGTCCAAGATGATATAATTCCTTTAAAAATGTTGTGGGCTTCCTGTGCATCAATTCATAATTCACTTAATTAGACAAAAGACACACCTACAAATCTCTTTGAGATTGGTCCCTCTCTGCTTTAGACAGAAAGCCAGAGTGCTGTGAGTAAATGCCCTTGAGATTCTTAAAAGCCTTTTTGTCTGAAAGGGTCTAAGAGGCATACTTCTAAAATTATTAATCTGAGAAGATCTATGAAGCTTGCCTTTAAATTTCTTTGCAGTCTCATTAAAGGATCTTACCTTTGACTTCATCTTTACCCTGAGAGCCTTTTTACTGGCAGGGCCCTGGATTTGATCTTTGCCCTGAGGCCATTTATTACTTTGAGAGCCTTTTGCTGGCTGGAAGGACTGTACTGGGTCCTCTGTATTTCCTCTAAATTCTGCTAAAAAACGGAACCAACGGAACTAAAGTTCCTTCTTTAGTTCAACTTTTTCTTCTCATATTTTATCATAGGCATCCAGAAGAAGCCAATTGGCACTTTCACTGTTCTGCCTAAAAATCTCCTTGTCAGGTCCACAAATTCATTAGGTGCCTTTCTATTCTCATTAGGTGTCTTTCCATTCACATTAGGTACCTTTTCTATTTTCCACCTAACGACAGACAACAGTGTTGCCAGACATTCCACTACCACTTAATAGGGTCTCCTTTTTTGCCAGCCTCTGTTAACAGTTCCTTCTGTCCTTCAGATCATTACTAACAACTTTCTTGAGGCTCTTCCAGGTTTCATCCATTGTCTGGTTCCAAAACCAATGACACCTGTTTTGGTTTTTTATAACAGCAGCATCCAGCTCTTGTAGGTCTTTGATGAAAGATGCAAGGAGCCAGCTCTTGCTAGCTTTCTAAGCCTTTCCATCACTTCCTCTGTCACTACACCTAGGCTTACCTTTGGTCTGCATCCCAGGATATGTTGGGGAGGGTCTGACTAAATATCTTGTCATTTCACAGTGAGGGGCCTGACTTTCCAGGCTGACATATTGGGTCCTTACATCTTACTGTCTTCCTGCTACTACTTGGCCAACTCCACATTTCAGATTTGTTTTACTTGAGGTCCACTTTAAGATAACAAATTCACTACTAGTTACGAGTTTATTCAGCTTTAAGTTACAGAAAACTTGACTAATGATAGTGGCTTTAATCGTCTCACACAATAAGTCGGTAGTAGGCAGTTCAGGATTGGTTCAGGGTTCCCGAAGTGCCATCTGAGACCTGGTGTCTTTTCAGTTTTTTGCTCTTTAATGTACACCACATACGCTTTTCCCATCATGCATGTTGCTTCATGATGACAGCATGGCTGCCGTACCTCCAGGTCTCACAGTCCATGTTCCAGGTTGGAAGACAGAGTGAGGGTGAGGTGCAAAAAGCCTTTTCCGCAGGAGTCTTTGCCTTTTTATTATGGTAGAAGTGCCCTCTGCTCCCAAAGACTTCAGTCTGTATCTTTTTGACCTTAACTATGTAATATGGCTACTCCTAGCAGTAATCAAGTGTTTTTAGCTGGGTATGTTGACACCTTGAAAAAAAATAAAAAAGGTTTAATAATAAAGAAAGAGGGAATGGACGGGTGAACAAGTAATAGGCAGTGTTTTCCTGAATTGTTTCCTTACTTTCCTTGCTTCCCGGGAGACTCTGATGCTTGGGAGCGACTCACGGTGTAGCTCAGAGTTCTGCAGAGGTAGGAAGGGGCTGAGTGAGAAGGTGCAGGGACAGCTGCTTGCTCTTGCTTTCTGTCCTGCCTTGACTGTATGTCAGGGCTGGTCGGGCAAGGCTGGGCAGGCCTGCAAGGATAAATGGTCTCTTTTCATAGCAATAAAAAGAGAGAAGGAAGCCCACCTTCCTAATACACTGTAGGAAAGGGAGCCAGTAAATATAGGCCAGGGAATCATGATGATGGTAATTAACATTTCTATAGCAGTCCTCAAAGCTGCTTGCATGCACACTGTCATTTCGGCCTCATGGTAACCCGGACAGGAGCTATCATTAGGCCCTTTTTACAGATGAGGAAACTGAGAGGAAGCAGCATTCACGGAGCGTGTTCTCAGGCCAGGCCCTCTGCCAGGCCTATGCCAGCATCACCTCGTTTAATCTTTGTAGCAATTGGATGAGGGATGTGCTATTAGCTTCTGCACTTCACAGATGAGAAAATAAAGGCTGGGAGTTGCATTAGGACTTGACCCATGCCTGGGAGAAAAGTCCTCATCTCTGTGGGACACTCGGGTGGCAGTCTGGGCCTCCCTCCCCTTCCCGCAGCCATCCCCAAAGCCCTGGGCTTTGTGTAAGGTGAAGAGGGGCACCCAGGCCCACCCGCTGGTGGTCGGATTAGTACAGACTGTTTTCTTTTGGGTCTTAGTCTCACACTGGGTCCCGGTTTCTTTGTGGGGTTCAGTTCCAGGTTCTGGGGCTGTTTGCCTGGTGGACTGGCCTCAGCTGGCTGCCTCTGGAGCTGTCCCCAACTGGGTGGGTTCTGAAGGGGTCTGATTTCCTTACTTTCTGGGTGCTTTTTTTTTTGAGACAGAGTCTCACTGTGTTGCCCAGGCTGGGGTGAATGCAATGGCATCAGCCTAGTTCACAGCAACCTCAAACTCCTGGGCTCAAGCGATCCTCCTGCCTCAGCCTCCCAAGTAGCTGGGACTACAGGTATGCGCCACCATGCCCGTCTAATTTTTTCTATATATTTTTAGTTGGCCAATTAATTTCTTTCTATTTATAGTAGAGACGGGGTCTCACTCTTGCTCAGGCTGGTTTCGAACTCTTGACCTCAAGGAATCCGCCCATCTCGGCCTCCCAGAATGCTAGGATTACAGGCGTGAGCCACTGCGCCCGGCCTTTTTCTGGGTGTTTGACAA